GATTATAATTATAGTTAACTAAATTAAAATTGCCTAAATTTATCAAATAGAATTTGTCATGAATAGCAGCCACAACAAAACAGTCAAAAATTTTATTTGGAGATCAGGCCTATTAGTTTTGGGGAATTGATCAATTGAGTCTGAAACAACTAACATTTCCTCAGTGGTGTATAACCCTACCACTTCTGAAATTTCAGCAACTGATAGGAACTCTATAAGAATGCATAAAAGGCGAAGCAAACATTTTTTTTGCATTAACTGAGAAAGGTCGTCAAGATTAGAGAAAATTTATGAAAAATATTCCAACTAACCTTTAATTTTAAAGAAGTTTTCAATTTAAATCCATCTTAGAATTTTGTCATACATGTAAATGGTTTTGTTGTACACAAGAAAGTAAATTCACATTCCAAAGCTGTTTGTAACAATATGGGGAATACCCAACAAAATTTATACAATGTGTTATTGATTGCTTGGAGTCTCAGATATATATTATCATGTTCCACTGTGTCATAAATACTTATTTCATAACCCTTATCTTTGTAATAAAAATCTATTTCCTTGCCACATTCAATATTAAAGAAGGAAGTAACCCTGAACTAATTTTTTACAATAAGGTTTGGGAATAATGGAAATTGTACAGCAGGAAGCTATATAATAATAATCAAATTATAATGACATCGATAATTTTTATACGGTTTGTAATTGATTAGTTGGTATAAATAAAACTTGCTGCAATAACATGTTTACTAATAAACCACCTTACAACTTTTCAGTAACAGGGGGCAACGTGCACTTATTCCAAATTCAGTGGTGTTTCCCTATGTAATTTTCAAAATACTTTATTCCATTTTTTTGTTCTCATTATAATTTTAGGTAGACTAACCACTTAAATTAGGGAAATTTACATATTATTATGCCATGACTGCAGAGGTGGCACCAGTGAGAGTGGGGAGGGGGCTGGGTAAATCAAAAACACAATTCATCTGGGAGGAAAACATGATAAGTACATGATTAAAAAAAAATAGACTATACAATCAATGAAATAAGCTTAATTGTCCTTGGGACAACTCCCGAGAGAATTTTAGCAAGGCTCGATCACGGTAACTGACGTTCTCTTTGAGGACATCAGATCCTCTGTTGACAGGCAAATCTTGGTGCCACCCTTGTACGATTGTATGATACACAATTTTAATTTTTTTTTTATCTTGCTTTATATTCAAATATTATAAAAAAAAAATATTGCATTTTCAGCATTTTAGTACCATCCGGTTTCCAAGCTTCTAACAATGAAAACCATTTTAATGATAGAAGCTTTTTCGGAGAGCCTGCAAGGAATAAGTCCTTAAATGAATTGCAAGCGGAAAGGTAATGCTAAGTAAATCATATATCAAATGCAGTGCACATTAATATGATTTCACTTTCAGTTTTCACTTTCTTTTAAGACTACTGTAATTCTTTAGTATCAGGTTTATTGCTTCTGCAATCTTTACAATAATGTGTTTTTAAGCTTGCATATGTATTTTCATTATGAGGATATATTTTAAGCAGTGGTGGCGTCAGCGGGAGGGCAGGGGGAATTTCACCCCCTTTGGACTACTACTACTATTACCCCTGTCTCTTATACACATCTAGCCCCCCCCCCCCCCCCCCACACTAGGGATTTTCTATTACCAGGATCCCGACCGAGGCTCTAGTTGGCCTTTTGCTTCGGGCCCCTCCATTAGACAAATCGGACCCCTTGTCGCCAAATTTCTGTCACCACTGCTGATTTTAAGCCTAAAAGATTTTTTATGGCATAAATAGAAACTAGTTTGTTGTTTCCACAGGTGTAGTTGGCAGTGATAAAGATTACAACTTTTATAATAATTCTGCTTTCTCTCAACTCCCACTAAAGCTCTGTCAACACTGTCCAGTTAATATGTTACAAATTTGTGTGATTTGCCCGTATGGTTATGGTGATGTCATGTCATGCCCATCGGCATAATGATATCATATTATTGTCAAATTACACCGCCAGTCATATAAAGCTTTGTAGACAGAATGTAAAGATTTATGTAGCTTTGAAAAGGACATAAATATATTAAATTTAAATCGAATATTTTTGTCTGAGGTTCTGAATTATAATATACTTGATAAATCCTGTAAACTGATATTGATAAATTGCTGCTAATCTTTCATGTTTATGTTTTATTGTATGGTCGAACCTCTCCTGCATGAGAGTGTTCCTCTGCTTTGAAAGAGAGAGCCAATAAATTGTTATTATTACACAGGATAAAATCTTAGAGTCTGCTATTTGTCTACATTGTTATTACAGGATTTATCATCCTGTTAAAAACAAAATATATAATTGTTTATAAAACAAACAAGTTATTAATATAGACATCTTGGCTATAGTACTGTATGTACTTTCTATTCTTAATCTACCATCAAGTTGGTGATGTGCATAGATGATAGTTAGATAAATTGTATACAACAGTGTGTCATCAAAGTGTGACTGTTTATGTATAAACTATAATATTACATTAATTGTGTTTGAATGTCACGCAAAATTCTTTGAAAGTGAATGTATTATGTCGCCCATTAATAATTAGTATCTAGTGTTTCGGTTGTATGTGGATCCTTATCTTATGTTCTTTTGCCAATATAGAAGACAGTTGGATAAGGAAGTGCCAAGTCTACCCTTCAACCAGGTATGTAAAATCATATATTTAAATTCTGTAATGTTACAGCGTGATATTTCGATGATTGTAGCCAATTTTGTTGATGCTACTGTATTCCTTGCCATAGCAGGTACAGAGGTGTGTACGCAGATTTTGGTCAAGCGAAACAGCTTGGGGGGTGCGAAAAAATCAAAACGCATATCTAAATCTCTACTCCAATGAAAAATTAATGGTTATTTTTAGTATTTTAACCCACGTAGATGAATTAATCTGCCGTAATTGGGGGTGCGTCCACATTCTCCGCACAATGTCATACACTAAATAATGAGGCTGAGGGAAAAGAGTTTATATTGAGAGGAAACCATGGAAGGACCCTAAGAATAGAAATCAGACACCTACTTCAAGTAGTCTAAATTTTATATATGGGATTTCAAATTGCTAGTAAACTAAATGATTGTGGTTTTCTTTCTGCCATTCCTGTTTTGGTAATCTTACAATATTTCATGGGTTGAGTGCCTTAAACAGTTTTTAAAGTGAAATTATTATTATTATTATTGTTATTGTTCCTAATATTGTATTGTTATTGTTATTATTTTTATTGTTATTAACCAAGCCCTTAGCCAGTGGGGTTTGAAAGAACCACCCTTTTCAAGAAATGACCTTTTAAATTATTAATAAAAATGTACCATGTGCATGTAAGTTGTTGAAATTAACTCCAAATATTTGAAATTTGGCATTTTTATTGCCATTTCTGAACATCTGAGGTGTTTATCTTTAAAACTTACCCCAGTCATGGTGGGACTGAGTTGGGTAAGGAGTCAAAGTGCTCTTTTGTGAAAAATTAGAATCTGCCGTTAAAAATCCTGCCTACGGGCTTGTTAATGAATAGTTGCAAACATCTTATGCAAGGATTTAGTCACTCGAAATAGACTGATCCTTTGGGAAAGTAACTTTGCTTGTTCTAGAATATTGGGATTTTCCGCTCTTCACAAGGGGCAACTGTGGCAGCATTACGTTTGGTGATGGGGTTGGCAGTTACCCAGGAGACAATTTCTTGATGTTTTCTATTTAAAAAAATTTGAGTTGGGCCGCAACCATTCTAAATGCTTTAGTCATTATCAGTAGTTTTTTTCTAAATGCATAGATTAGACACAGTATGATACTATGGTAGATTTGTTTATGTAGGTCAGATTTCTTTAGTTTACATGTAGGTTTGCACAAGATAAACCCACTGAATTTTAATAAGATACTACCAAGTTTGACCCTCTAATTCCAAGACTCCTTTAATTCGAGACCACCTTTTCAAAGTATCAACAATCAGTCTTCAATCGTTTAACACAAAGCTCAGCGTCTAATTGGTTACCAACCCTAAGACCACCCCAACGTAAATTGTCAGGTCCCAAAGGTGGTCCTGAATTTGAGGAGAAATTGTACGTAATTATTTCAGATCCTTACAGAGTTGTTCATGTTCTAGTTCAGCTAAAGGTTGGTAGTGTAGGGACCCATATATAGGACCTGAACATGAAGGTTAAGGTGCACACATTGCAGGGGGTCCCAAGTTCGAATAAGTCACATCCGGGAGACCTGGTTAAATAAGCTTCTTCAGCATATCTAATTTCATTTTTCTGCGCATGGTGGTATCCACAGACACTGACTTCCTTGAGACAATTGATAGTAAATTAGTCAAAACGTGGTGGGCTATTCCCTGGTAGTGCGAGAGGCTGTCCTGACTCGTGGGAAACTTGAGACCCCACCCCCGTTCCTCATATTTTTGGGATATTAATTACATTCTGAAAAAAATGGCAGGATTTCACTTATACCAACTACCTGTACTGCCTTATACTGTTTATAGATTGGATGTCTATCAACTAAACACAACTCAAATATAGGGCTTTTGGCCTAAATTTCTTTTTAATACCAATATGGTGAAATATAAATTGTTTAGTTGTAAACAGGTGGCACGTTTGAGACTAGACTGTATGTATTAAGATACAAGTTTTGTATTTGCACCCGAGAGCATCTTAGCCTCAGTCAGCTAAACTGTTGGTAGCCACTGTGTGTGCGCTGAACTGTGGAGATCTCTAGGCCCCTGTTTCAATTCCCATCACTGCTCTCCTTGTGTTTCAGCTGCAGGGCTGTGTTCATTTGTGACAAAGAATTTCCAAAGGGTGAGGCCTAAGCTTGCATTTACACTAAACACAAGATATCACACGATAACGACATATCGTGTCGTTTATGTTCTTCAACACCGAGCACATTTTTATTTTTATTTATTTTTATTAGCTTTAGTGGAAAGGTCCATTCTCTATATAGAAGTATTTTAGAATTTTTAAATGTTTGCCTCTTCAAATTTCTGGGGGTTAACTGCAAGTTGTTCACATATGCCATAATTTTATTGTAGAGCATTAAGTTTTTTTCTTTAGAGAATATATCATATGTATATTATAAAAATTATTTCAGATGTCTCTGACCCCAAGCCCAGCTCAGGTCACCAATACTCCCGCGCCAAGTATTCCATCTGATTTTACTTCTTGTGACCCAACTGCTGAAATGGCAAGCCCTCTGTGGGATTCTTCATTTGGCCAAACAGCACCGGAAGCAGGTTTCACATTGAAGGAAAGGCTAGATCATACTTTGCAAATTTGGTACCAGCCAGAGATCGGCAAGAATGTAGCTGTAAGGGCTTTACAAACAGCACCATTGGGGGTGAGTTTATCTATTATTTCCATGTTTTAATTCCATCAAAGTGGCATATCCAAGATTATGAAAAGGGGGTTGCTGAACATAGAAATATTACGTCCACTGAATTTTTCGCTAGTTGTAAAACTAGGAACGGAGCATTTCAGTGGATATGACTACTAATGTAACTAACTTTGCCATTTATTTCCATTAATTTACTATAATTTTTTTAACGTTTGATAAAAAAATAAGGTGCTCAGGTACCGTGAAAACTCCCCTAGTTACGTTACTGCATCACTTTCCTTCATACGTCATACACTTATGCATAAGCCGCATCTGTACCGGAGAAAGATCCTTATTTCCTTCTATTACTACATTGAATACTCTTCTCATTTGCATTTTTTGTCTCTGTCAAATCTGTCTCAAATTCATTTCCTTTTTTGGGCTTTAGTATTAATTATATCCTGGTATTGCTTTCATATTTGTGGTGGAATATGTGACAGCGATCACTGCAAAAGGGGTGAAAAGAAAAATAGCAGCTGTATTAGTCAAATAATCAATGAAAGCAAATAATATGGGTAGCACCTTTGCTAACCAAATTTGTGGACACACAAGCTGTTAACTGTTTTTTCATCTTTTTTTGAAGAGTTTCTTGTATGGAGGATCCAGAAACAAAGACCATCTATCATTGAGAGTGAAACAGAAGTCTGACACTGGCAACTACATTGAGACTTATCCTGTCAAACAGTTTGCTGATAATAGTGAGTGCTACTACATATCGTCTTTAGACATTTTTTATACCTTGTTTCGCAAACTTTTTTTTTTGTAATTGTCAGAGGAGGGCGGGAAAAAAATAAAATTTGGTTTTCTTATTTAGCAAATAAATTTGCCAAAAATACCCAGACGGAGGAGAAAAAAAAAAAATACAGTAATGTTG